TGCCTGAGACAGGCAGGGCAGCACCACCATCCACATTTGACAGATGAGGAAGCTAAAGCCCAGGCAGGGACAGCAACCTACCTATGGCCACTCTGGACCCTATACTCTCTCACCTACAGCCTCAGGCCAACCCAGGCACCTCCTCCAGGAAGCCTTCCCTAAAGCCTCCAGCCACTTCTGACCATTCCCTTCTCTGAGCACCCCCACCTGAAGGTTGGCAAGGCCTTAGTTATCTGCCCTTACTCTGTGTCCAGATCCCCTACCACCATGGCCTAAGACCAGCACAGCCTCTACAAACCACCTTCCCAGCAACTTCCTGTAGAAATGGGGAAATGGAGCCCCAGAAGGGACAAAGGCCCACCCTGCACCTGAACTCACCCAATCCAAAGCCCTAAAACCAATTAACTTCCACCCCTGCCACCACAGATAAGAAAACAGACTCTAAAAGGTGAAATGACCCCCAAGGTCACATAGCAAGGACTGGCCTCTTGCCCGGCTGGACCCCCTCCAGGGTGCCCTCCCACAATGAAACAGCACAGCAAGACCCAAGTCAGCAGAGAGAGGTAAGTTATGAGTAGCCATGGGGTCCTGGAGACAGACGGGCCCAAGGGGGCAGAGAGATCCCAGCCTTAGAGGTCTCAGCCTTGAACCCAAGGACCTGTGTTCTAATCCTGCTTCTACCACTTCCTGTTTGGCCTTACACAAGTAAGTTCCTGCTCTGAGCCTCAGTTTCTACATCTGTTCGGATGGGCTTAGTAAGACTCATGCCACAGGACAGTTGTGAAGACACAGTGGGAAGGCAAAACACCTGGCCCTGCCCTGCCCCACCTTCCCCATGACCTTCTGAGTCCCTCAGACTGTTAAGAGTGAAAAGGGCCCTTGGAAATCCCTGAGATGATCCCCTCCCTGATCCCTCTTCAAAGGGGGAGAGAATGAGGTGCTGAGAGGGGACAGGCCTGAGCACTGGCTTGAGAGCTTGGAACCCAGGGAGGGGAGGTGGAGGGCTGCGGTGTGGAAGCAGGTGGACAGTGAGATAGGGCAGTGGGGGGCCACTAGAGCTTTCCCCCAAAGGGAAAGGGGAGGAGCCATAGGGCAGGAAGTCAGAGAAAACAGGTCCCCACTGCCACCCCCAGCTTCCTGTGGCAAAAGAAACCTCAGGTTCTCAGAGACACTCCCCCAAGAGATCTCCCTGCCTTACTCCAGCCACCAAGCCCCTCAAGGCCCCTTCACAGTGGTCTGCCTATGAACATCTGTCCCATGAGTAGACAGGGGCCACCTGGAATTGTCAATCCTCTCTCCACCTGGGTCTGGAAGCCTCTGCGGACACGGGCCAGGCCTCCTCCTCTGCCTCTCACATGGCTAGCCAAGCACCAGGCTAGACACTCAGCAGCACTGGAGAACCTAAGCACATGAGCATCCAGGGAAGGGCTGCGCAGGCCATGTCATCTCCTGCTTTCTGTCGCCCGATCCTTATTCTGTTCCCATGGGCCCCAGCACAAGCACTGAGTCCAGAGGCTCTTGGAGCCAAGAGAGCTCCATGACACAGATAGAGAAACAGCTCAGAGAGGGGCAGGACTGTGCCCACGATCACACACACAGAAGAGGGCACCATAGCCAGGGACACCCCAGCCTCTTGCCCAGCTGGCACTGCTTGAACGACTGACAGCCCTTCTGGGTTCCCATTCCTCACATCACATAGGCGTCACAGGGAAGCCTGGCCTGGACACTGAGCGGCCTGGGTTCCGGTTCCAAGCTGCCCTCTGCCTTGGACCAGGATGCATGTTCAGCATCTGCCTCTGGGACAGGACTTATCCTCTCAGGAGGCACTGTCTGCCTCCTCTCCAGTACCCAGAGCATTATAATGCAGGCTTGGGGCCAGGCTGGGCTGGAGGCCAGGAGGGAGGGAAAGGGGGGAGGTGGCCTCCAGCAGCCCCTTCCCTTTGTCCTGGCACCAAATGCTGGGCCCAGTGCCACAGTGGCTATCAGGGACCTCTGGACACAGAGGCGGGAGAAGATAAGTCAGGGGGAAGGGAGACGAGGCGGAGAAAATCAATCAGGTAGACAGATAGGCGGATCCGGATCCATACCCCCACCCTGTGATCACAAGCACAGGGCATGTCCAGGGGGCAGCTGGCCTTTCCTCAGGGGGCAGGCTCAGAAGGCTGGGGCAGGAGTGGGGGAGGGGGAAGTTCAACAAACACCTGTGCTTGAGTTCCTGCCTCCAGGAGTGACCCAATCACCTCTGGGACTCTGGCTTCAGCCCTGCTGTGCCCCTTAATAAGCCACGCCCCTTTCTGGCCTCAGCTTTCTCATGCATCAAAGGAGAATGGGATGATGAGAACACCATGTCCTTCAAAGAGTGTTTTGAGTTTTTTTTTTTATCTTTACCTGAGGATATGTTTTTATTGATTTTTACAGAGAGAGAGAAACATCGATGTGAAAGAGAAATATCCTTTGGTTGCCTCCCATTCGCATCCTTACCGGGAATGAACCCGAAATCTAGGTATGTGTCCTGACCAGTACAGAACAATGCTCCAACCAACTGAACCACCAAGGCATCAAAGAGTTATTGATGGGGTCCAAGCCATAACACTGACCAAAATGTGAGCCCGAGTGGAGAGGGGCAGGGACTCTGGAGCCAGGCTGGCCTGGGTTCCACGCAGCTGCCCTGTGACCTTAGGCAAGTAATATCACTGCCCTCAGCCTCAGTTTCTTTGTGTGTAGCATGGAGACAAGCCTACTACTGCCCAAGACTAGCCTGAGGGTAAGTTAGATGATGGAGGTAAATGCTTGGTTCAAAGCAGGGGCTCTTAGAAATGGTATTCCTGAAATTTGAGGGGTGGGCAGCTCAGAGGCCTCTGCCCATCTCCCAGAGCTTGTGCTGAGGGGACCAGGAGTGGGGTACAGGATGCCTATAATCAAGGCCCCAGACTTTCCCTGGGCCCCAGCTCTGCTCACCTACTATCCCCAACCTTCACTCCACTGCGGGGAGCAGACCCGGAGGGCAGCAATAGGGAGAAACATAAGACAGAGAGGGTGAGGCTGGGAGGCTAGAAAGCTAGGTTCCAAGCTCCACTCTGTTGGCACCTGGCTGGGTGACCCTGGACTAGCCCCTGTCCCTCTCTGGGTCTCAGTGTCCTCATTAGCGCCTCAGTGAGGGGGTGGGGGGGAGAATATGAAATAGGAATTGCCAGGAGCCCTTTGGCACTTCCAATATCAGCTCAGTCTGAGAGGGAAGAAGGGGCAGGGTCCCGGCTGCCAGGGAGAGTGTATGCCCTAACCATAGCCCACAAGCCCATTTTTTCCAAGTCCCTTCCACTCCCAAGGAAGACTATCAGACAAGACAAGTCTGATGTGGCCACAAGAAGTCTGTTGTGGCAGTCTGGCCCCCAGACCCACCAACCCCAGTCCTGGACAGGGCTAGTTTATCCATTAACCAAGCCAGATGGAGGAGGCAGCTCCACCCTGTTGACAGAAGATGGGCGTACTAGCCTCCGTTCAGATCTTTCCCTCCCTTCCTTCTGGAGGGCCAGCTCAGTAGGGAAACTACACTTTCCCACCCCACTGTGCAGCCATCCTTAAGCCTTTCCCAGGTCACAGTCAGGGAAACAAACTTGTTCTCACAACCTTCATTCAACTAACATCCCTGCTCTGTCTGTGTTGGGTGCAGGGGAACACCAAGCTTGGACATACCAGCTGCCCTTCCCTTCCCTGCACCTCAGGCTAGACACAGGTCAGGCCCCCACGGAAGCCCCCTAGCCCACTGTCCTCAGGTCTGGGCAGAGTCCCAGTGGGGGAGACACATGGAAACTCTGAGAGAAAACGAAAGTCAGATAGGCAGGATGCAGAGAGTGATAGAGGGCAGAAAGGGTGAGCCAGAAGGCCACATGGGAACAGATGGACGAAGCTGTACATGACTAAGACAAAGGGAAGCAGAAAGGTACATGGCCAGAGACGGAACGTCAGACATCTCTGGCTCTGTCTGGTGTGAGGCCAAGGTGCCTGAGCTAAGTCTGAGAGCAGGGCCTAGGCAAGGGGGGGGGGGGGGGGAGGGAGCGGGCAGGTGGCCCTCTGAGTCCAGTGCCCTGATCCACCAACCCTTGCAACAGGAATCCACATCTGCACAGTTCCAGAAGGACAGCAGAAGGAGAAGGCAAGAGAAAGGGAAGGGAGGGGAAAGGGCACAGCCTACTGCCAGGAGCTCACTGAAGGGAGCCCTACCCCCTGGAACTGTGGCACTCACACAATGCCCGAGGTGCTAGGGGTAGCTACTGATGCCTCTAGACCAGAGTCTTCACCAGCCTCTGCTCTATCTAGGCCCCCAACGGAGATGAGCTCATGGGGTCCCACACCCTTAGCCTGCCCTGACAAGGCAGAGAAAGAAAAATCATGGGGCTATAATGAATGGAGTTGAGGGCTGTCAAGGGGTTGATGTGCTTCCCTTGGCCTCCTCCTCTCCCAACCCACCACCAGCCTGGCCCTGCGTAAGGCAGGGACATCCACGCCCTGCCTTCGAGATCTGCCAGCCACAATCCTGAGTCCCTGCAGCAGACTCAGGGAGCAGCCAGGGACAGAAGGGGGGAAGAGCAGGGCACCAGGCAGGAAGGGATCAGGTCCCTGCCACCCAAGTGTGCAGAGAGTGGGAAAGAGACCCGGCTCAGGCTGCGAGAACCAGGAATTAGGAAGAGAAGGGCTCAATCCCCCACCTTGAGTGACTCAAATCAGTTAGGAGGGGAAGGCTTGTGGGGGCAGAAGGGTCCCTGAGGGGAGACCACCTCCCTGGAGCAGGCAGGGGCATGCAGAAGAGTGAGCCAGAGTCACACACCTTCTCCAGGCCTCAGTTGGCCCATCTGTGTAATGGGGCTTGCAGGACAAACTGTGCCTCTACCTAGTTCCTGGCAAGAGACTGAAATGCACAACCAGGTGGCAGGGGCTCGGCGGGAGCACCAGGAGACCCCTGTCCGAGGCGGTGAGGCTGCATGTGCGGTGCCCAGCCCTACCTTGATCTTGTGCAGGGTCCGATCCATCTCCACAGCCTGCACCCACACAGACACGCCGGCCTTGCTGTAGGTCAGGTTCCAGCCCGCCTCGGCCTCACACTCTGACCGGAAGCTGCGGAAGTCCTGGTCGTCGGGCACCTGGACGCTGTCGCGGCCCAGGACTGGCCGAGGCCCCTGGGGCTCTGTGGAGGCCGCAGACTTCTCCATGGAGAGGCCCGGGGCCCTGGTCCTCGTCTGGCTCTCCTGGGTCCTCCGCGGAGGCTCTGACAACGTCGACGCGGCTGCCGATGCTGACGCCACCTTCCCGGGACCTGCAAGACCGGTTTGGGGACCGGAGTCAGTGCGCTGGGGGCGCGGGTGGGGCTGTCCGGGGTCCTGGGCGGGTGCGGAGTTCGAGAGAGGCGGGGGCTGGCCCCCGGTGAGGTCCCCCGGCCTGGGGCGGTCACGGGGCATCCCCCAGGGGCGCCCCGGACCTCCCGGGGGCGGGGGGTGCGGGCTGCGCGCCGGGGGTGGGGGGCGCGCGCGAGCCCGAGGGGTCCCGGGGAGGCCGGGACCCGAAGTGAGGAGAGTCGGGCGGTGTCCGCGCAGAGCTGGCCGGACCCGCTCAACTCACTCGGGCGGCGGCGCCGGCGCGGGAAGAGCGCGGGGCGCGGGGCGGACGCCGCCGGGCCGCCGCTCACCTGTGCCCACTGCTCCGCCGGGGCCGCCGGGCCGGGGTGCGAGCGCCGCCGCCGCCGCCGCCGCGCTGCCGCTGCCCCGCCGACCGGGCCGCGCGGGGGCTCCGAGGGGAAGGACAGTGGGTCCCGCGGCCGGGCCGCCCCGTGCCCCCGCCCCGCGCGCCCTGTCTCCCTCCCTCCGGGCAGGCTGGGGGCGCGGGGGCACCGCTCGCCTGGGCTCGGTATTTTCCAGGCTGCGGAGGGACCGCCGACCGGCTCCCAGCCCCGCCCCGCCCCGCCCGCAGGGTCCTAGCGCCCGCCCCGCCCGCCGGGAAGGGACCTGGCCCGGGAGGGACCAGTCTCCAGGCAGCGCTCGGGACCGGGCGGGGAGAGGCCCGGAGATGGAGTGGGCTCTGATTGGAGGGGCGAGGGGTTGCTAGAACAGTCCTTCTGGAAGTTAACTGTGAACCCCGCCTCTCCACCCCCTCCCACACTCACAGGTACGCACCTCTGCAACAACCTACTTACGCACAAACGACACCCCAGAGACCCGAAGATGGGCACACACACCCCACCACAATCAAGAGCAACTCAGAGTTGCCTGCAGCTTGCACCCCTGACCACCCACTAGCCGCAGGGTTCACAGGCTGGCCAGATTTGGGCAAAATCTCCACTCCCAGCTGGGAGCTGTAACAAGGCTCCCGCCCGACACCGCCCCCCCTCCCCCCCTCCCCCCCCCCCCAAGCCCTAGACTCTGGCTCTTGTCCGTCACCACCCACTCTGAGCACCCATGTGTGTGTCCACACATCTCCCATGGACTAGATCTGGCTCTCTAAAGCATCTGGCTCCACAGCACTGGGGCTCCCTGTCCCTTCCTAAGCAGAGCTGGCCAGGCTCCATGGCCGTGGGGAGATATGTCCACCAGCACCCCAATCACCCCTTCCAGCCCCCAGAGGCTGCCACCTTCCCTCTGGGTCCTGGTGCCAGCTCTGCCTCCAGTTGCTCTGTGTGCACTGAGGCCAATAGTTCAACTTCCCTGAGGCCAGGACAGTATGTGTGGCAGAGGGCACAAGACTGAACATTCACTGACCCCGGGGACTGGCCCTTGACCACAGAGCAGGAGGGAGGGCCCGTGGTGAGCTCCCCTGGGTGGGCAGCTAACAGGGTCCACAAGTGCCCACTACTTGCCCAGTGTCACACAGTGAGTACATGGGCATCCTGTCCAAACCCAGGTCTCAACCTCCTCGCATCCCAGGGTTCCTTTCTCTGCTCTGGCTTCCTATCCTCTCTGGGCCTTAGTTTCCTATCTGTAAAATGAGGAAATCAGAATGTATAACCTCCTAGCCTCACCATCCTAGAGCTCTGGGATGGAACAGCTTCTCCTAAAGTCACTAGAGAAAGACGAGGAATTGTCTCTGTGGGTTCACAAATATAGTCCTGACATGCTTAGGACTTTGAGATTTTAAAAATATATATTATTATTATGATTATTTAATCCTCACCTAAGTATATTCATATGCTGTCTCAAGCACCCCCAAGCAGCAGAGAAAAGGGTCCTGTCTGCTCGAGGGCAGAGGAGTGAACCCAGAAAGGCTGGGAGGGGGTAGGTGGGGGAGGAGTCTAGGACTCAGCCACCCCTGCTTCCCACAGTCTGGCAGTGAGGAATCTGGGTCTTACATGTGCCCCTCGCACAGAGAGAAACTGAGGCCCCTAGAGGCACAGGGACATTCCCAAATCACACAGCAAGTCAGAGCCCATATGGGGACCTCAGGTCTGTGAATGGGGCCCAGGGGTCATTTGGAGAAATTCACATCAGACTTTGCTTACTGGTCCCTGAAAGGCAGTGGAGCAGGGGCAGAGCCCTGGCCTGGAGTCACCCAAGACCTGGTCCCTAACATTTCCTTCATCTCCCCCACTGGGTTGAACTAATACCTTAGACTACTGTCATTTGGCCCCAGCCCCTCACTGTACAGACAGAGAAATAAAGGCCCAGCCCAGCCAGGAGGGACAAAGTAGATATAAGAATCCTGGTCTCTACTATCCTATATAATAAACCCTAATGTGAAAAAAACACACAAAAAACCCTAATGTGCAAATCGACCGAATGGTGGAACAACCGGTTGCTATGATGCACACTGACCATCAGGGGGCAGACGCTCAACGCAGGAGCTTCCCCCTGGTGGTCAGTGCGCTCCCACAGGGAAAGCGCTGTTCCCAGACTGCGAGAGGGTGCAAGCCGGGCTGAGGGACTGCCCCACCGGGCCTCTAGTCAACAATAAAAAGATATATTAAAAAATAATAATCTTGGTTTCCCAGCTCTTAACTCAAGACTCTGTTCCTGTCCCCCATTATATGACACCCCTTTCACTACCCTGGGGGTGACCTTGGCACAGTCCCCACTCCCTCTCTGCCTCAAGATTCAGCCCCCACCCTGGGCCCCAACCCAGTCTTGACTTGCTCCTGTGTACCCCCTCCTACTCACCATCTAGTCAGACATATGGATGGCTGCCTGGATCTCCCTCTGGGACATGAGGAGAAGGCCCCCCCTGACTCCTCCCCACCCTCACCACCTCCTCAGGGTAACTGGGCCTGCCAGTTTGGGTGGAGAAATTTTCCAGGTTGCCTAGGGCAACAAGGCAGTATTCTGGGGGCACTGTTCTAGAAGATTGTGCAATGACCTGTGTGATGTCACCAGGAAGTAGCAGAGTAGAGAGGTGGTTCCAGAGGCCTCTCTGAAAGGCCCAGGGCAGAGTACTCTAAGGCCCCCAGGGCTGGCTTGGCCTTGAGGAGGACATGTCCTTTACAATCTGGTGGCCACAGGCTCTGCATCCAGTCCCTTCTGGAGCCGGATCTAAGTGTTTGCCCAGGGCGGGCCTCCTACCCCTGCTGGGCCTCCCTCAGCAAACAGCCCACAGCCCTAACGCTGCCTTGAGGGAGCACTGCTAGAGCCTGAGAGAGTCACAGAGAGATACACAGTCAGTTACCCACATCCTCACTCCTGGTGACTCTGTCACAGCCACAGACCATCTCTGATGTCCTGTCACAGTCCCCCACAGCCACACACCATCTCAGGCTTGCTTAGGCATGCTAGGTTACCCAGAGCACTCAAGTAGATCATCAGATAAAGCATTGGACACCTAGTGAAATTTGGTTTTCAGATAAGCAAAGAATCATTTTTAATATAAGTATGTCCCGAATATTTGCTAAATCAGGCAGTCTGATGCCTGAGGCACTGCCACACCGACATCACAAAGCCTTGAAGTGCTGCACAGTTGCTCACCAGTCCCCTCATCGGCTGCCTGCTGCATGCCCCTTCTACTCCCTTAGGGTGGAAACTGTTCTGAGTCAGGGTGCTGAGGGCCAGCCTTGTGGATAGAAAAAAAAAAAAGCGGGGGGGGGGGGGGGGGGCGGCGGGGCCTAGCCTGTTTGGCTCAGTGGATAGAGTGTTGGCCTGTGGACTGAAGGGTCCCGGGTTCGATTCCAGTCAAGGGCACAAGCCCAGGTTGCAGGCTCGATTGCCAGTAGTGGGCGTGCAAGAGGCAGCCAATCAATAATTCCCTTTCATTATTGATGTTTCTATCTCTCTCTCCCTTCCTCTCTGAAATCAATTTTAAAAAGGCGGGGAGCGGGGTGCTATGGAAAGTAACCTCACAGGGTGATCTGCTCATAAATTCCTAACTGGGCAGGTCATGGTGGGTAGTCATGCCCAGGCCTATAACTTCTTTAGTGAAAGGTTCTAAGCAAGCCCTGTCCATTGTTCTTGTGCATCTAGGTTAACACACCGTTGAAATGCCAGAAGTAATCCCCCTCTGAGGGGGTATTAACCCTCAAGAGAACACATAATTAACTGTCCTGCAATCCTATCCTCCACCTTGCTTTCTCCCATCTTCACATAATCTTCCTTACTTCCCTCCTTCATTTCAAAGGCACAAAAGAAACTGCAAAACTGTCCTCCAGATCTGAGATCTTGCTTTCCGGCAATCGTCATCAGTTTTGGCTCAAATAAACTCATAAAAATTCCCTATAGGTTTGGACATTTCTTACATTGACACTTGGGAAGGTCCCAGCTCCTTCAGCAGGGCTCTCAGAGGAACGTCTCCCTCAGGAACAATAATGGCCTATGGGCTTTGGAGGTGGACCCCCACCCCTCCTACTATCCAAAGGGTGATCCTAAATGCTCCCCCAAGACCCTTCTACTCCCTCAGGGTGGAAACTGTCCTGAGTCAGGGTGCTGAGGGCCAGCCTTGAGATTAAAAAATAAGAAACCATAAGAAGGAAGTTGTGTGGGCTGCCAGAAAAGGGGCCTGCTCTGTCCCAGGACTGCAGTCCTGGCCCTGGTAGAAGGCCAGGCAACCTCATCCTTCTGAGGGGAGGGCCTGGAGTCAGGCAGGTGGATCAGGGACATGTGACAGGAAACTCTATGGCTTTCAGAAGATTGCATTGACACAGCAATCGAAGTGGGATCCTGCAGGTATCGGTACCCAATAAACAGCAGCAGCAGGGAGACCCAGCGGGAAGGGGTGTGAGGGTCCATCCGGCCTGAGGGGGGAGTCTCCATGGTTCTGCTCTGGGCCTTGCCCAACGTAGGCCTGTTTTTCTGTCAAATGGTGATGCTCAAGATGCCTCCCCACTGGGCTGAGGCGGGTGGGAGGTCTCTTTAATTGTAAAGTCCTGCACGGTGGTGGCGGGGTTATTAGATTCCTCCTTCCCCCTAAGCCAGTGATGGTGAACCTTTTGAGCTCGGCGTGTCAGCATTTGGAAAAACCCTAATTTAACTCTGGCGCCGTGTCACATATAGAAATTTTTTGATATGTGCAACCATAGTAAAACAAAGACATATTTTTGGTATTTATTTTATATATTTAAATGCCATTTAACAAAGAAAAATCAACCAAAAAAAATGAGTTCCCGTGTCACCTCTGACACGCGTGTCATAGGTTCGCCATCACTGCCCTAGGCCCAGGTTGCCTGGGCAGTAGGACCCTGCAGGCCCAGAGGGCAACTCCCAGGGCTCTAGCATTAGGGACTGGAGGGCAGGGGGTGGGGGAAGGATGAGACAGATGTGGGGAAATCCCTTCTCAGTAGTCTAGCATAATGGCTAAGAGCTTGGCCAGGGAGCCAAACTGTCTGGGTAGAGCCTCATATTGTGTGACCTAGAACAATTTACTGAATCTCTCTGTGTCTCAGTTTTCCCATTTCTAAAATGGGTAGACTAGTGTGGATTTACTTCATTGCAACGGGGATGAAGTGAGTTCATGCACATGGAGTGTTCAGCACC